CCCCCCCGAACTCACTTCTAATGGACAAATTTAACGACTGCGGTCCACCGATAGCTATCGAATCCATGGCCCTCAACTTCGTTGCCAAACGCACCATCCCCTATCCTAATAGCGTGTTATGAAATTAAAGAATAAAAGGTATTCCGAACTACGCAGAAATTTACTCACCTGAACCATACCGAGTCTTGAGAATTCCTTTTAGTGGTAGACCCGCATCAGAGTCTGTTGAATAGCATCTAGAATTGATGGATGAAAATTGTGGCGTGTGATCAGAAGGTGAGCTATGATTTGGTGACGACACTGCTCTTGGCATTTCGGGCCTGGGACTTAGAGAAAACTCCGTATACTCCGGTGACAGGTGAGTGATATGGATTCTAGATACTGAGCTTTTCCCCTCTTCCACCAATTCATCTTCTAGTGGGAGTTTGACTGTATCTCCATCCGGTTTAGGGAGCGGTACTTCCTGAAAAGAAGAGGAAATATTGTGAGCGTACGACGAGGAATAATGCATTGACAGCTTCATGACATTTGCCTAAGCATCGTTGTGGATGACAAATGGTTCGAACTTTCTATCCATTTGAAAGAAGCTTCTCAGCTTCCCATGCACAATCCATTTTGTCCGATTTTTGGCTTCCTTATTTTACTTGCTTGTGAACACTAAACAGTAGATAAGTATGGATTGAGGGTCCTAAAGCTGTAAGACATTATTAATGTTGCGGCACACGATTTGAACCACATACTGTTATTTTCAATGTGCAAAGTAGTATATCATTGGCCGTGGAGTACAGGATGATCATATACCGATACTACAAATTACACAACTACCGAATGTCCACTACAACCGATGAGACCTAATAGATATAGGACACAGACACAATGGTCGAACTGTAGTTTTAAGACAACTGGCTTGAATTAAAGCCAACCAATACATTCGAAATAGTGAAGAGTAAATACAATGCTTATTAACTAGAGACCAATCACATTATTGATTCGTGACATAAAAGCCATCGCGGTAAACTTTCGGAATAAATAGTTGCAGCCTCAAACAGCCATGATGGATGAAACTTGTTTAATTTGTAAGTTTTGAGGATTATTATGCGAGAACTGCAGGGTACCATGATTTCTACCTCAACAGAAACAATTGGGTTAGCATAATTATCAGTACTTAATTGACTGCAAACTTTATTATTATTATTATTATATCATTATCCCTTTAGTTGACTTCAGGCTTCACAGAGGGGAGGAGGAACATCAAAGTGTAAAAAAATTCAAGAGGGGGTGAGTACTGTGGAAGTAGTCGAATATGACATACAGTGGGGCCATGGCAGTTTGAAGTCAGAAGTCAACTGCCAGGTAATAGACTTTTTAGTCGTATGAGAATGCGTTGCCCAGGGTGCACAACGTGGAGGTAAGTCTATCACACGCCCCTTGACTGCAAACTAATGAAGCACAAAACCCAAATGTTTTGAACTGCCCAATGAGCCAAATGGCATGCGGAGTATTTTAACGTGACTAAGCAGCAGGCGATAAAACTGTATTGGCCGCATAGGGTTGTGTAGATCTTGCATTAGATAGAAGTAAAATTATTCAAATGGCCTTTAACCTCCGAAATGAGGCAAAGGGATAAGTAAGCCGTTTGAATTATATTCAATCTTTAGAAAATAAGCTCCAAATCGATAGGTAAGATAGTTCCAAAAACCAAATTAAGTAAATCTGTGTCAAAACTCAGATTTCCTCCGCAACATCTTATTGAAATCACCCTCTTTACCTCTCATGATGGTGAATTTGGAGATATTTCTACATCGCAGGGGATTGCAATATAGCAATACGCTCACACCTCAACCGAAGACAACTTAAGCCAAGAGCACACTCGATTAATAATGAGAAAAAGCAACCTTTCAAGTCGACTCCAGTAGAGAACATAACATGTAATTATTCATATTTAAAGATTATTACTGTCTCATATCTGAAATACATAAAACCAAGTCCACGAGAGCAATGACCAAGTTGATTGACGACCTCTTCTTCGTTTAATTCATTCATTTAGTGATTTCTGTAGCGGATGACCGATCGAAAATATAATTTCTATCGCAACACAATAGATCAACATTTTAGATCTGTATCTCATATGCTTAATTTATCTCCAACAAAGGTAAAAAAGGAGAGTCCATGTACTACTTTCATTTATGGTCCCTCGGAAAGAAATTAAAATAGCGAATAGGATGACCAAATCAAGAGACTTATTCCGACTCCAACTTTAAGAATTACTATAATCAAATCAATGAGAAGCCTTTGTCGTTTCTTGGCCATTATTAGTATCCCTAATGACTAATGAAGACTAAAACTTAATGACAAAATAAAATCTAGACTAACTGTATTCATTCTACTACCACAAATTACACTTTCAGTCGAAATATAGTCACAAATAATGCACTCAAATACTACCTTTGTTGAGATAATAGTGCCCCAAAGTCTTAGCTATAAAACAGTAGAGTCTAACCCAACTGAAAAACTAATAGTTGCCTGAATTCTGATCCCTTAAAATATCTTCACATGACTAATTCATAAGCTCATTTGAACGCACCTGAAGTCCAGAATCAAGAACACGTCCAACCGCAATGGAATCCCACCACGTAACCAGGGCACTGGGTTTGCGTATCACAAGTGCAACGTTGCTAGGGGAGACCTGGCATCCGATCACCACGGGCTCCTCACCTTGGCAACTCTCAGCGTCTTCGGAGACCGTTGTAGAGGAACTAGTGTCAAAGGAGAAATGAGGGGGGACTGGACAAACGAAAACAATCCCCCAAGACAGATTACAACCCCCAGAACCACGACTTGTACAGGTTAGCATGAAATGCATGGAATTGGGATCGCCACGACAACCTGTTTCAGACCAGTCAAGTCGCAGAGAACGACGAGAAACATTGCATACATCCAAAATGATGGTGAAAGTGGTTACATCTTGACGCACGATTACTGATGCTAGAGAACTGTAGAGAAAAGAAAGTTTAGAGCACATAAAAAGTCTGCGAGTACTAAAAGTTACCTAAAAATGAACACTGACGACAAAAACTGTAGACACAAAATAAGCGCAACTCAGTGGGTGGCCCGGGTTATCCTCAATATAACCCGAATATTCTAGAATTTAACAACACTTATGAACATTCAGGAACATTTACTCAGCATCAACAAAATGAACTATCCTCCCACACTTGACCTAACTCGCCCATTTTACCCTATTACATTAAGGTAAACCAAAAGATAATCTCATTCGCATGGAATCCAGAAAAGTCTTGACGTTATAAGTAATTTGAAAAAAATTCACTTTAATGAAGAAAACAGGATCACCTGTGCTAATTATTCCATTAAAGGGCAATGTGATCAAAGAAAGTGGCATGTGAATTTGTCGCTTACGTGCACATTACACTCTATATGCCAATTACTTAAAGCGGTTAAATTTCAAATTAATTAAAGGGGAAGTGATTTTTCCTAATTCAAAATGGACAGAGGAGCAGCATTCAGAGCTCTGAAGGATAAAAATTTTAGCGTTTATTCCTCTGTCCCACACAAATAGAATCGGAAGGCACCATTCCCAGCCAACTATAATTACTCACCAAGACCAGGCAAAAAAATCTATAAACCGTTCAAAATACCGAAGTCTACTAAAAAGGAATTTTATGGGGCTGTTATGAGCTTGCTAATAATACTATTATTTTTCCAGTAACGACAGAAACATTCTTCGCAAATGATAACCATGAGAAAGCAAAAAACAAAACTACTCAAGCATGAAATAAAAGAGGTCAAGAAATAGCAGAATCAAGGCATGAAAGAACCAATGCTTACTGAGTAATGTATAATTTTGAAAATTTAATGACTACCTCCAAAATGAACGAACAATATTGCGGCGAATAAAATATTTGGAGATTGATAATAAGTTTGCATTTTTTAAAAAAATTCAAAGTCAGTGGTGTTCATCAAGGTTTATTAGTGTCCATGGTGTTAACTAATATGGACGCATATAAGTCTTTGGTCAAAACTGCTCAAAGTTATTAACGGAAATGTAAACACTTGACTTAAATTGGAGGAAGTTATAATGAAGTAGCTCAAATGAGAAGACCAACTTTAAGTGCATAAACATCAAAAAGAGCGAACCGTGTCCAGCTATGAACTCGAGAAAGCACAAAATAGGCTGGAAATAAGGTAAGATAAAAACGTGTACAAATTTCGAAGTCTAGATTTTGGAAGAGCACACACCCTACCAGTTATGATTTCTATGTGATAGTGTGTAATGAAATCCTACCTCAAATGATGAGGAAAAGTTCATTCGATAATCGAGACTAGTTAGTCTAAAATCGGCAGACTCCCTTTTAGAATCACATGATGCACATTTTCAAAATTCGATAACAATAATTTTCCTATTTCATAGCTATAGAATCATTGGATTTAACTGCAAACTAATATTTTATTGAAAGTCGGTAGGGTAACTTTTATCTGTCGAGAAAGACGGTACAACTTGAATCCTACTAAAATTGCATTTCGTGCAATACTAAATATCAACCACAACTGAAGGGACTACGTGAAGGCATCAATTCTTGACAAATGAAAGCGAAATAAAGAGGTGCTAGCGATCCAATCAACGCAAACTAAAAGAGAATAAAGATCCAGGTCTAGCAGATAGGTGGCAAATAAATTATGATAAAGATTACATGGATTAATTTGATCAGGATTTTGCATATGATGGCAACACTGAGATAAATCAAATCAAGCATTACACTGAGAAAGTCCAGAAACCCCGGAATAATTAGGTTTCTCCCAATTCCTTGATCCTCAGTCCTACTGTCTGTACTCCTCCAAACAAAGCCTCTCAGTGATGACTATAAGTTTCATTGCTTCTACTTAATTAAATTTTGCAAAGCACTTTCGTCGCTTTACAATGGGAAATAGATAAGCAACGACACACGGTGAACTCCACATCTAGAGAAATACAAGACCGGTGACAAGAAAGCAACTTCAAATTTTGGTACCTGAGTAAGGTCAATTGGGAAAGCTGAAAGGAAAAAAAATAGGAAACTGATATCAAGAATTTCATCCAAACTCAAATATAACCCATTTGAATTGGTATAAGTTAATGTGCTGAGATAACCACTGGTCTGTCAATTCCGTAATAGTTATTATGGGTAGTACAATGACCAACTCATCGGTTGGATAATGCAACTGCATGAAAACGTTAACGCACTGCATAACTAAGTAGCCTTTTGGTACCCATTTTTCACACAAATCATATAAGCACAACATCTAGATTAAATCGAAATCGCAGTACTTATCTACTCCCTCAAACATCTTATAGCACTTAATAAACACTTACTCTCCGTTTAAAATTCCAAATTTAAGGTTTATATGCGATTTGAAACTTCTCTAACACGAATGAATCACAAAAAGAGTGAACTTACGCAAGTTTAGGGACAACAAGTTCGGCGGCTTTCACTTTGTTCATTTTTATTTGATGTCCTTCAGGCGCAGGAGATAACGAAAGTGAGCACTCCGACTCACTATCTCCAGTCCGGTCGGATAATTTTCTTCGTTGAAACCTTTTTGAGACCTTCTTGTCGAGATTAAGATAAACATCATCGCTTACTGATGAAGACGCAGATGTGTCCAATTCAGAGCCACACTCATCATCCGGTTTTTCTCTTTCAATTTGAGGAACAGTTTGGGAAACTTGCTTCTCATTTCCGGACTTTTCTGCGGTCATAACTTCGATTAATTGTGCAGGAGATAGACAAGACTCCCCAGTATTCTCTAATTCACTAATCACAGCCGATTGAACAACCGGTAAAGTAACCAAGAGTTTGTTAACGTCTTTAATGAACTTCGATCTCCCACTTTCCCAATCGACTGGATAGGGCAGAGTTAATTTCAATCGATATGCAATCGGCTTCTCACTCTAAATATGATAAAAATAAAAATAAGGACTCGAAATTACAATGCGCTAATGAGCCTAGACTAAAACCCCGCCCTTTAATTACCCATACCGCCTAGGCCAGTGTGCAAATAGCATGCTGCATATAAATTAACCAATAAGAAACTAGTTTCCAGACAGCTGCGACGATCACATGCTTACAAAACAAGCAGCCCAAAGAAAGTAGCCAATAGAGATTAAGAAGTACCTGCAGACAAAGCTCGGCTTCAGAAACATCAAGATCCAGGCATTCAGCACTTTCAATTCCAGGCAAATCGATATCTACTCTGATCGATGAAGGTCTGGAAGACGTAGACCGGAGACTTTTATCATTGGCACAATTTAGGAGATCAAATTCTGAGCTTTGGATTATCTTATATGCCGGTTCCTTGTACTTCGGTTCTGAGATTTGGGATTTAGACGTCAACGGCTCTTTTAAACGAGGCAAACTGTCCGTTAAGCCACGGTCGAGTTTGGATAGAGCAGCTAAGCTTTCTCGGGAATTAGGGGCATTTCGAGCCTCTTCAAATGCAGTTCTTTTTTCTTGAGCCAAACGTTCTTGACATTCGACAAAATCTTCCCTTTTTCGTCGAATAATCGTAGCTCTAATGGCACCCATATACGTGGGATTGTTGAGAAGCTTACACGTTGAAAAAATCGCCTTCTCATTAGCAGATGAAGGCTTCCAGGTATTGAGGGCCTGCTTTCTTGTTTGACCCAAAATGTAGCCAAACTGCTTATGAACACCTTCGATGGCAGTAACTTGAAGTAATTTATGAAGAGCATTATTTTTTCGAGAATGTTCGATTGCTCTTGGATGAAAAACCGTATCGATGGACTATGAGGGAAAAACAAGTAAAAATAAATTTAGATGAAATAACTAAAACATCAATTACATTATTATCCTTGATAAAAACAAAATTCTTTCAAGAATTTGAACATTGTGATAATACGCTCAAAAATACTATTGAGTCGGATCAAAATTAATCATATAGTTCATTAAATTAGACTGGTAATAACATTCAAATACAAAAAAAGATGCTTTTAGTCAATCTAAAAATAGGTTCATCAGATGATATCATTTACTTTGCAATAAATAATTATAAGAATTAAATCTCATCATTGTACCATTCTATGCCAAAAATGCTAAAAATCTAAAAAATGAAACAAACGATATAACGGACTAAGGGTTCAGATAAGGGTCTTACACCTGTTATGATAGCATGAGCTTAGAAAGATCGTAGCAAACTATCAAAATTATACCATAGTAAGCACATAAGCCAGAAGGTAGTTCTAAACTTTAATTTAACGTACCAAGCAGAGTTTGCCTTTGTAAAGTTCTTCAACTGGAGGACTGAAACAATGGGGGATTTTCCACAAAGGTCGTTTCTCTGTTTCATCAAGAATTAAAGTCGGTTCCTCCAGTTTATCACAGGAACATATGTTAATAAAAACAGTCTGACCATCGGTTTCCGAAGAATTAAAAGAAGGTCTGGAAGGATGGGTGGTGATCTCGAGGTTAAGGCTAGGCCAGCTTTTAGATTTGAGAACGCGATAGGGAGTTGGTTTGATGAATTCAACGTCAATCCCTCGTTCCAACTCCACCAGTCTGACTTCATCCTCGAATCTGCAAAAATTCGAAATAATATGTAGTTAGAATAAAATTAGGATAGATTAACGGAAAAATAAGACTGCTTATCAAGGCGTGATTCAACTTACCCTCTAGTACAACAATAAAAACCAAAATTCGTGCATATGTTATTCACTTACACCGTAAATATTGATTAAATAACGATGGTCTGTAAACAAGCAATCCAGTATTTAGTTTGTTTTTTACACACCTACGTCGTTCTTCCGGGTCTTCAAGCACTTTACGGTATTCATCAAATAGTTCAAGAAATTTTGGGTCTTTGAGGGCATTTCCAAGTCGGTGTACTTCATCAGCTGTTAGATTTAGATCACGAAGAGCACTTTCCATTAACCCAACACAGCTTATGCGCCGCGGACAAAGGTGTAAACTTACAGATAGTTTATGTTAACGAAAACAATATCAAAGATCAATCATAAAATTAAGAGTTAGATAAAATTTTATAATACCTATCAAATGAAAAATATTAAATTATGATATTTTCAATGATTTATAGAATTCGGAGTTATTTCTTTGCTTAGCTTATCATGGAGTGGTATCTGTTGATAATTTAGTTTTAGCTTCGATTTTATTTCAAAAAATTATGTATTTTGGTTAAAAAGATATAATTATGTATATTACGTATACTGTGTGCATTTCACGTTTTGTCTTTATTGACTCATTCGATTACTATAACACAAATTCTTTTATAATGACACAATATCACACAATTCAAATCCTTGTTACTTCCTCTCATCTTCTCTTTCCAACTGTTCTAATTAAGGCAGAAATCATGGTCTATTAAAAAGTTGGTTTTAAATGCTTTTGCAATTCTACTGAGGCTTCATGACTTCTTATCATTTCGATTCACTGCTGACAAGTGCCATGTCAAAATAATACGTAGTGGAATGTTTGGTCCATATTTCCAACGAGTATTTGACGAATTTGAAAATGTCTCATTCCTTTTTGTTCTTCGATACGTTATTTTGAAAAGTTGATATTCTATTTTAAATCTTGATAATCTTCATTATGCTGTTTAAATATTCGTTTACTGATTGCGCATTTTTGGCTAACTACTGCCTTGGCATGTTTTGTAAGCCTTACACGTATTTGAAAAATTCAAATGTCCATGCGGCCATTTATCATGTCTTCATGTGTGCTGTAAACTAATTCCATTATATTAACATGGTAAACCTCGGTAAGCAGAAAAAATCTTTTTATTTAGAGGTCATAAACGGCATATAGACTAGAGTTACTTGGTGAAAAATATATATACATGAAAACCTGATTTGAATTATGAGACATCTTCAGACTGTAATTGGTACTTAAATGGTACATCTTATAAAACAACAGATGTAAATATGTAAAAGCGGTTTAATATCTCAATTGTCCAATAGGAAGAGCTAACCGAACATTGACCAAATCTCCGCATTTTATGAAATTATAGAGGATTTATATTTTAAGGTGTAGTAATAATTAATTCAAGCAAAAAAACTAAACTGGAATGATATATTTACAAATACAAATAAATTAAGCCACTCTTATCAATGGATAAGTAAAAAGTGGGCTGTGAGCGTAACAAAGTTATTCAAAAATAATTTTTATATAAAGATATTTATTCATGAAATGCAAGACGTACCTTACTAACGATAACTCCGCTTGATAATTGTTATTCATTTTACATTTATGTGCACAGTCATCAACATAAATTATAAACAGAAATTATATTGCCAAAATAATAAATTTAAATTGGTAAGAAAGCTGTGCTTTTGTGAGGAAGGATCAATAACAAGGATAAATAAAGGGTTGCAACTTGTCAGTTATCTACAGCCAAGATGTTGGTAGCAGTTTAACAGATATTGAAAATTTTTATGATATTGAATTAAATTTATAAAACTAGAATTATATTATTGTCAAAATCAGTTATAGGTGGATTTGAAAATTACTTTTTCCTTAAATAAAATAGAATAAGTGATAAAGAAAACACGTAAATATGAATTTGTATTTTAATCATTTTCTTCATATTTTTAAATTCTTTGTTTTAAGATTAAATGATGTTTATTTCCAAAAATTGATATAATTCACAGCGAAACATATGCATTTTATCAAATATTAAGTGATGAGCAACAAATATAGAATAAATTATTTCCACTTTTATGGTACTATAACATTTCTAATTGCTTAATTTTAATGATAAAATTTGATTAAAAAACATTTGTTTATGTGAACGAAATGCGCAATGAGGCACTTTCGGATATCATTCGTGTGATATGGCTCGCGGAAAGCCTGCTGGAATTCATACTGCTCGTAAGCTAAGAACACATCGTCGTACCCAAAAATGGGCTGATAAGCAGTATAAAAAGGCCCATCTTGGAACACGCTGGAAGGCAAATCCCTTTGGAGGGGCTTCCCATGCCAAAGGAATTGTTGTTGACAAGGTTTGTTTCCCTTATTATTGCATTCGTGCCTTAGATTGGTGTTGAGGCCAAACAGCCGAATTCTGCTATTAGGAAGTGCGTTCGTGTTCAGCTCTTGAAAAATGGAAAGAAGATCACTGCTTTTGTTCCTAATGATGGTTGCCTGAGCTTTATTGATGAAAACGACGAAGTTCTTGTTGCCGGTTTCGGACGTAAGGGCCACGCCGTCGGTGATATTCCTGGTGTCCGTTTCAAGGTAGTTAAGGTCGCCAATGTATCGCTCTTGGCTTTGTACAAACACAAAAAGGAAAAGCCAAGGTCTTAAATTGGCATTGGTCTTAAATAAAGCTTGTGTATTATTTGGCAAATTGTTTCTTAATTCCTTTTACTCGTTAAAATCTCTACTTGAGTTGATTCAACTTTTAGTGCATTTGTGCATTAGTTTTGATTCCTTTTCTCTTGGTTTTTTGTGCATACTGCTAAAAGTGGTTGCTCACGAAGTTCTTAACTTGGTTTATTTAGTGGAGATCATTTGGGAATGCGGTGGTTGCTAACTCCGTTTCAATAATGAACTCATTTTTTTCGTTTATTAGTGAGAATATTTTGCTATGACAAATCTTAAATAGGTCCGATTGATGTAGAGGGATTTAGGGTTTGGGGGTAGCTAAATCTACCTGTGGATTGGATCAAAAAAGTCGTAGATTCTACCCAAGATCCATTTACTTATTGAATTTTCCACGAACTGTGTATGTGGACAAACAGCATTATGAAATGATAGCATTTCGAGATATTAACCATTAGGCACAATGTGTACTATTTGTTAAGCTTAGTTATCAAGGGATGCTGTTATGTTTACTCGGATTTTATAACCCCAGGTTCAAAGCCAAAAGAAAAAAACCAGTAATTTGATATTTTACAACATTTATGAATGTAAAAAACGGTTCGTTTCCTATATTACAAAGCGTAACTCAGCATAACGTCCTGCTTTGCAAATTCCAACAACATGGGATCGTCGAAGTATTTGTTAATACTGACATCCTCATTCAGTCCCTTTCGTCTTCTAGTCTTGATCATAAACTCCCGAGCCAAATGAGTAGCGGGTTGAGCTACAAGAGGTTGAATGTGAATTGTTCTATCCAGCGGATCACCCGGCACCATTTGCCAATGGTCGAATACCGACATGCAGAAAGCCTGTCCTTGTGAATGCGTCCTCAAATCCGTCTCAAACCCAAACGAATCAATGACAGGCAGGTAAGCCTTGATACTGTATAAGGGTGACCCAGAAACAGGACCCTCATGAGTAACATGACCTCTACGAAGTTTGAGAACATTGTAGACAGCCGACATACAATCCCCAGGCATTTGCACTTCCACATAGTAGTAGGGTTCCATTAACCGCGGTGTTGCCATCATGAAAGCAGAATAAGCGACCCGACGTGCTGTAGGAATTATCTGACCTGAACCACGTTGGTGTGCCTCACTAGAAATCATGGCATCCAGAATTTTGAACTTGACATTCCTAATAGGTTCATCACAAAGTGGGCCCTCACGTGTGCCCCACTGGAAGCCCTGGACGATGTAGTCCTTCACTGATCCAAGTAGGGTCTTATCAACTTCTGAAGGTAGGGTATCATCTACTAGAATGTTTGGCCCAGTAGAATCAGGTCCGAAAGCCCAGATTGATCTAGCTGCTAGCAAATCCCAATCGTATTTCTTGAGAAAGAATTCACCCATTTGTTTCTTCGGCCAGTCAATTCGAACAACCTTATTTTCAATATCCTCAGCTAAACCCTTATCCAACGGCTCGGCTATCATTGTGATTTTATTCCTGAAAATCAAAACAAGCGATCGTGAAAGCAATCTGGAAGTGAAGCAACCAGTAAATATGAAATGGAACGAACTTTTTATTAGGAGATTCGGAGAAACACTTAAGAGAAGAGGTTTCAACGACAGTTTCACAAAAGGCCACAACCGGATCAGCAACCTTAACATCTAAAAAAGGTTTAATGAAATTTGAAAATAATATAAATATAACTTTTTAATCAGTAAGCAAAGTTCCAGAAGAGTACAGTGAGACTGACTCTATTTCTATTTACAAAACTGCATAAATAAATGACCGACTTTAACATAAGATAAAATTGCTCCACCACTGTTCTGCTAAGTTATATAGCACGACGGCACGAATTAAGTACAAAGTAAAATTGCCTCCATTTTAGAGGTATCACTTAGATAGCTTGAAATCGAATAGGTGGCATTGATAAGGGAAAACCTAAGAAAACAGAAACCACCGGGTCCCCTTCTCAAGTCTAGGCAAAGATAGAAAAGATGCACTATTCACCGATATCGGAGTAGAGTTTGCGGAGATCATGCATCACACAGTCGAGATAAAGTTCTCCAGTTCCGCGAATTATTCGTTCTCCTGATTCTTCTACTTTGGTCGTGAGGAGAGGATAGCTTTTGTTCACCTACACACATTAACGCAAACGTAATATAAAACATTGCTTCCAGTAATTAATAGAAAAAAAGTGAAACCACACCTTTCTCAACGCATCAAGCATCTTCGGCAATTCCGAAGGATTAGCTGGTTCAACAGAGATTTTAATAATTGAAATAGTGTTGAATACCAGTGGATGGAAGATGTAGGTATCTGCAGTCGACTGTAGCGAAGTGATGGTAGAAGTCTTCACAATTGCCTGATCAACACCCTCAATAAGTACCCAATTACCTGCTGGAACTCGATTCACCTCAATTCGATATCTAAAAATAAGAATTACATACGCTTAAATAGACGGGAAAGACAAACAAATGCACCGAGATAGGGTTTAATAGTAGCAATTTCAATAAAATCAGCTTTATACACTCAACGTACATTAGAAGTGTTTACGAAATTTGACTACTGAATAGGGAAAGAACTCGAGCTACCTTTATAGAAACACTCTACGGCCAAAATTCTGACAAAAATTATTTACCACAAGATGTGAATTAGTGAGAATTGATCTTGAAACATCTGATCATGCATTCAGCGACACTCTTCTCGACTACCATATACCATTGGCATTCCGATCTCTAATAAGCCATCACGCTAATGCCAAAGAAAGAAAAATAAACGGACAAACTGAAGATTACCTTCCACATAAAACCCAGAGACGTCCAACAACAGCAGGCCTGGAATCTTCCTCGTCGCTAAGAGAATACGCTTCTCCAAGTACTTTGACTTCCTGTCCAGCCTCCAGACGTCCAGAAAGAACCCTTCCAAAAGCATGGAATGAGATTGCTTCTTCGTCAGGATATAATTTTGTTGTATGAACCATTAAGTGGGGGGATGTCGCTCGACATTTTATCATATCTCGAGCAACTTCCGTGTCTAGGGGACCAGTATAAGTATGCCTAATTTTTACTTCAGCTCCAGCAACAGGACTTGGTGTTTGATCTACAACCATGGAGACGAAACCCGAGAAGTCTCCAAAAAATCGACTGAAAATGATTCTCAGGAGAGGTCGAACATTTAATTTGTACTCAGACTTGGAGAGATGGATACCTAATTCATTGCAAAGCGACGGTAGACAAGTGTCTACATCTCCTGCAGCCTGTGCGAATATTTTGTAGATGGGCTCCAGAATGAATTCCACAAATGATCGAGATGAGGTTTCTGAAGTGGGAGTTGAGCTGAATGTTCTCCTAAAAAAACATAAAAAGGACATGTTAAAATAAAAATGGAAAACAAACGTTCTTTAAAGTAGTCCATTAACTTACGCCTCAGCGTTGAAGTACTGATTTCCCCAAAGTCTCTTAGCAAAGCTCTTATAATCTACTGGGTCAGCATAAGTGTCTGTGTAGATCTTAGCAAACGATTCTAAGGTGAAACAGAATCGATAGTAAGAACTGGCAAAACAGACGTTGCCCAGAAGGGGACTGACAATTTGCTGAGGTTCCGAATAGCCACCAACACTTTCTGAGTAAGTTGCAACCAGAGAATTAACTGTATCGATAATATTTTTGATATTGTAATAAGCTTCATTAGGCGGAAGTTTCAATTCAAGAATCAATCGATCAATTTTATTGATGCAGAGCATTATAGGAAGTCTTTCTTGAAGTGCGTGTTTGATCAAACGCTCAGTGTTCATGAGAACACCTTCCAAAACGTCAACAAAAATGATGACAGCATCGCAAAGCCGAAATGCAGCTGTTACTTCATCAGAGAAGTTGACATGTCCAGGAGTGTCGAAAATATTAAAGAGATATGATTTATTCTTCATATCAGGAAGAACCAGAGTCATAGGTGTGCTCTTTATACTCAGACCGCGCTCAACTTCAATTTTGAGATAATCTGTATAACGAAGCTAAATGAAAAAGAAATCAATGAGAAAATAACTACACAACTTACATCCTTATCTTCTACCGCATGGGTATCCGGGTGAGTTTGTTCAATTAGACAATCAACAAAGGAGGTCTAAACAAGATTTAGCTAAAACAAGAGCACTACCTTTCCATGATGAAGATGTCCACAGAAGGCAATAGATCGAATGAGTTCTGGGCAATCCATCATATCAGCAAGAAATTCAGGGTCATAGGTTGTAGAAGGAAAGGAAAATTCAGAATAAGCGAAATTTTTTTTCTTGATAGGCTCAATCAGTGGTTGGGTCAATGGTTGTGCATCCTCCTCTTGAACCAATGTTTCAACATCAGGGCCATATACTTCCATGGCGCTAGGATAGTACTTCTTATCATCATGCAAAACCACCTACAACGGAAATAATATGTCTAACAGTTGGATCAAGTGAGACCTTTCAATTTAAAATATAATTACCGCAAGAGCCTCATCGGGTTGTTCGAGAATTTGTGATTCGGTAACATCATCAGCCTTTTCACCATCATATTCCTCTATACTATCCACATCGTCTTCTATTTCTTCATCAGATAAAATATTAGGACCAATATAATTTCCGAACTCGTCGTATAAATCAGTGTCCATCCCACAAGCTTAACCAATAGGCTCCAAACCAAGTCAGTAATTAATTTATTGGGAATTAAAGGTCATTAGGATTGCAGAAGGACAGTTAGTTTAATTGGATAAAGTCAATAAAAATATTTCTCAAATCTTAGGGCGTTTGATTTTCATAATTAAAATCCCCTTTTAGGTTTGTTAATGAGAGAACTAAAATGGATCCCCTGATGAAGTACTTGTCCTTTTATGAATACATCACTCGAATGGGCTACTTTTCATTTTGATATTTATAAAGGTCAGTCTTTAGAAGGCTGATTGGAGGTAAATGCATTCGTTGAAAGATGGTGAGACGAATAGGAGTATTGGCAAATTGGATAAAGGGATAACTATTATGGTGAGTCATTTAGCCCTCTGATTTATCATCGTAGTCGCTGGCTTAGCCAAGTTTCGTTTTTGTCACAGCTTAAGGTCTGCATCGTATGGGCTATTATACTTATTCCCACTGGAATGTCAATTTTCAAGAAAATATTTTCCCGGGATTCGTTTTCTAATGGTGTCATATCAAACAGTAATTTTTGCGCTCTTAAGCCAGACCTTCAGGAACGATTGTCTAGAGTGAAGTATAATCGTGAGTTAGGCCTGCTCGAGGCAAATCCCTTCATGAAATTAATATACGTTTTTCACTCTTTTTTGTACGTTTAGTTAAATTGGTTATTCGAGGGGAACGTAAAACTGGCAAAAGTTGCCTTTTATCCCGCTTGACTGGAGAAGCGTTCTCTCCTACCTATACGCCAACTGACGAGATCAAGGTAAGGCTTTCATTTAATCATTTCCTCACATTTATGATTACTTGCATGGTCTCTATTTATTTTATGCTTTAGGTTGCGTGTATTCTTTGGAATTATCAACCAACAAACACGCCTGTTAAGGTTGATGTTTGGGATGTGGTTGATAAAGGGCGACAGAGGGAAGTCAAACATGGGAACATTTCAAATGGATATATTTCAAAATTAACTAAAAGGAATCAGGTTAGTTTTCCTTCATTTTTGTTCTAGTTTTCTTTTAGTCAGCTACAACTTTGGCATCTTTAGATTCAAGCTTTATCGACGTCTACAAGGGCACAAATTGTGTGATTTTGATTTTTGACCTCACGAAGAGAGCGTGAGTTATTTTTCTTGGATCAAAATTATTTTCATGCTTTTCTTAGGCAAAAATTCCTTGTTTCGTATTCGTTTCGGCCTTAGAGTAGAACCACAGTTACTTTCATCATTCACACCAACGACAGTTATTTTAATTTGCATACCTACGCTTTTTGAGTTTGCTTTTCACCATCTTGATTTTAAACCTTATAAAGAATCGAGCTTGTAAATGGTCATTTTAGGTCTTCCAAATCTCACGCTTAGATCCCCTCTCTGTGTGTGATGAGTTGGCTTTAAAAATATTTAAATTGATATTTTGAATAATCCAGATTTTAATTTGTTTAATGAAGTAACAGCCCTTAAAAATGCCTATTTTCTCGAGAGTAATTGATTATATTATTTTTTATCAAATTCACTTTATCCCTCAAATTACATAATTGTCATTCACTTCAGGTTTATGGACACTTAATTCTCTCTTTTCATTCTGTTTTCTTTTAACATTGCGTGTTATATTTTCTGCACAACTATTTGAAAGTATGTAGGAAATTGTTTTTTGATAGTGCTTGCAATAACGATAATCCACGTAACTGTGTACTCTGTAAAACTACCTCAAAAGTTGATTTTTAATTTGCCTTGGACTTATTCATGAGGGCGATAATGATTGCTATTACCTATAGGGTTTTTAATCGAATGCTATAAAGCCTTTTAAAGGGTGTATAGTAGGGGTTTTGAAAAGATGCCGACAATGTTGTCAAAGTATCAAAGATTCGTCTTACTTCATTTGGTCTTCGTTTTCCTCTCACGTTCCAGAAATCAAGTGTCATGATTTGTACCCTGGATCGCAGCAGACGCTAATCTACGATACTCAGTTATTTAACAAATTTTCAATTTAAACTTGATTTGGCTTGTATTCGCTAGAATCTTTGATGCTTGATTTTATTTAAAGTGATAAGCATCAATTTATTTTCCTAGATTGTGTTCAGGTATTTGGAACATTAGAGAGATATTCTGTTAAGATTGAACGTCGTTGTGGTAGTCGGAAATGCTTTTACCTTCTTGTGCACTTGTAAGAACCTTTACATCGACTCATCCTTAAGCTGCTGCTGTTGCTTCTCTATTGATCTATTGACTCACTGGTCAATATGTAGACTAGATAATTTGGATAAGGAAACAAATTAGTAGAAGTTTTTTAGACTTTTACATATATATATATATATATATATATATATTGTTGTCAGCGCTTAATTTCTGTTAATTTGAGGAGTCTTCGATTATTCAATGAGGCGTGTCGTATTTCAGCTTCGATAACTGTTTCTCTGCTTTGTAATATTGTTTTTTATGTTGTCTCAGATATTTATTTGTTTAATCCGAAATGGTTCTCAAACAAACGATATAGCAAATTGATAGACTATTTTTAACTTTTACTTCGAATGTTAAACGCATTCAAATTACAGTAAAACAAAATGGAAACATCAAGTTGCTTTTTTCAAGTACTGTTTTCAATTGATTTGCTGACAAAAAAATGAAAATTATCCTTCGATTCGTTCATTTCCCCTTTATTATAGTTTAATTTTCTACGCTTACTGGATAGAGGACGAGTTTAGACAGTCAGTTGTTAGGTTTGAATATTTTCTATTAGCAGAGTATAAAGAATCCGGTACTTGTGCTGGGGAATATCTTCGATTGACAATATTGGGACTACCTTGGAGAAGCAAAACGCTAGAACTTGAAATAGTTTCCACCTTTCGAATAAGATGCTCTTTGAGATCTGATGCTTATAGTTCCTCACAATGGTAAGGCGGGAAATCAGTTTAGGTTATAAAAGGAGATTTAATATGAAAAATGTGGCAAATCGAATTGTTATTTAATTTCAAATTTGCTCAGAGCACTGAGATCAGATTTGGTGTTGGTCAGTAATGGAACTATTCAACGTTGTAGTTTTGATACAGAATATACTTAAGTTAATAGTCAATGATGCAAGTGTCAAAGTAACATTCATCAAGGCATCTTCATTTATCAAATTGCCTAATTGCTTAGCTTTATTTTAATCGTATGCAGGTTTCTCGGTCTTAGAGGTTTTGGCATGCTTTATCAAGCTCTAAATGATTGTTGTAAACCGCTTTTCTTCTTCAGGCTGCCTTTATAATTTGTTTACACTTATGATTTTAGGACATTTGAGTATGTGCGTCGTGAGTTGCCCCGAGTACCCTTTTCAGTGCCAGTTCTTGTAGTTGGCAACTTCCGGGATGCTGCTGCCGGGGGGGAAAATGGAGGTCGACGAGAAATTTCAGAGTCTGATGCTCGAGACTTCATTCAGCGAGCGAATAAAGCTCGCCAAGCGGCAGTATCTACGATAACCCCTTCCGACGATTTATTTCTCTCAGATTTACGAAATATTTACAAGTACGTGGAAAATCCACGACTTATTTTATTTAAGTAGAAATAATTAAATAGTTACATTTTTCTATAGGTGGGCGCCAATACGATATTGTGAGACATCCATGCAGAATGGATTTGGACTGATGTACATTCACAGTTTTCTCAATATTCCTTTCCTCCATCTCCAGAGCTCATACCTTATTCAAGGACTTGTTACTAATCGCCAGGCGTTCAACGAAAGTTGTCAACAGCTCGATTTGGCTGAGGAGAACCAAGAGGTTATTTGCTCGTATGAAAAGTATGTTGTAGTTGGTTAGTTGGGCTGTTGTTTCTGTTTTGAACGAAGTACTTAAAACCCTTTAACAACCGAATTATTTTCTGAAAAAAATGCATCTAATCGCACTCACGCGTGCCTCATTGGAGGCCAATGTCGACGTGAAGAGCTTTGTTGCCATCAGGCGAAGGCTATTGAGGTATTGAATATGCTTCAAACGGCATTATCTACTTCTGTTACGAGTTTAGTACCAATGGAGCTTATTTTGAGATAGAATCCTACTCCCCTAGGGGCGTTATAGGGTTAATTATTCATAAAAATATCATATTTCTGTAGCTTGTTCACATAGTGATATTATAAACATTAAGCGAGATGACAAAGTGGGCGAATTACTGAAAAAATTGTATTCAAGACAGTTAGCCGGGATGCATTTTCCCCACACTCTGATAACTGAGTGTAAACGTAACTTTAATCACGTGAGAAAGGATAGGTGATAAGGAATTTTAGGAAATCCATCAAACGGAAGTCAACTCATCTACAATTGTGGTCTAAAACGCATTATTTAATTCGAAAGGTGAATCGACCCTTGTGGATCAACTTATCTGTTTTCTTGTAGTTGATTCCTTATACGAAACACGTTAAAGAGATTAAACACGAAGGAATTGTATAAAGATGATATGACGCCGTGAACATGAGTGTACTGATGCATTAGCAAATGTACTTTCAATGTTTTACCTGGAACATTTATTTATTTATATCAAATGGCAGGCGTCTTGATGGTTATCATTAGCCCTTTAGTTGACTACAGGCTTCACAGAGGGGAAGGAACATCAAATCGAAAAAATTCGAGAGGGGGGGGGGGCAGAAGAGTGTTTTAAAGATGTAAAAGAGACAAACACAAAGGTAGAACAAAGGTGAGGTGAATACTGTGAAAACGGTCGAATATAGCATAGAGTGAGGTGGTGGTAGTTTGAAGTGAGAAGTCAACTGCCAGTTAATAGACTTTTTTTGCCGTATGAATATACATTGCCCAGGGTGCACCACGTGAATTACCTGGAACATATAATTGAATAAACAGCAAATTTCCTGATTGTGCGTTTAAACTTGTTACCACCTGTGATAAGCTTTGAGGTACCGGCAAGAACTCTCCTTCTGAAAAATCTCCCATAAATCATTTTTACCTAAAAATGTTTCTAAGTCGATATTAGGCCTCAGAAGTCTTGCTCACGTTTCAAATGTTGAGATTAATAACTTGATTGATAATTTGTCGTCTGGTTTAAGTAAAATTCTTTGTAACCAAACTTAATACTAGGCTTTTTATTAATTACCAATGCTATTCAATTGTCTTCAAACCCCTACTACTACTACTCTGAAAAGACCGAAATTTTCATTTATTCCTTTATTTGCATTGTGTGGTAATCGTCTATTTGGGTTTCCTAAAATGTTTGGCAACTTCTTCATTTACTGTTTCTCATGTCTAGGTTACTATTGACAAACCTTTCGACGCGAATTGTTTACAATGTGCACAAATACGCAACCAACATATACACAACGTAAATGTTAAGTTGGGCCTCTGAGATATTAACTTACTCTAGTTGTGCAAATATGTCATCTTACCAGTATTTTTTGAGCTGGGTTAAAAAAGCACCCGGTAATTCTTTTTTCATGTATTTGGTACACTAACTCAAAGAAACGATCTTAATGTAATGGGGACGTAAATGCGGATCTAAATCTGCTGTCCTTTTAGGAGAGTGATTGTGCTGTTTCTCAATGCAGAAAAAGAATGTAGCAATATCATCTGTGATTGAAATATCCCAACTTATGTAACAGGTAGTGAAAGATTTTTTCTACTAACAAACCTTATTTGAAGTCACCATATGTGTCCAATGTATAGAGGATATAAGATCACTTCCTTTTTGTCCATTCCTCAGAATGAAACCCTGATCTCGAGTAATAATTACTTCCTCCTTGCACTCAAGATCTTCATGTCCTGTTAGCATGAACGTATTAGTTATTTTTTGAAAGCTGTTGAGCTGATCATTGAAACGAATCGTATTTTTAATAGCATATCTCACAAACTATTTCTGAATCGATTGTTAGTGATTAAAAACAGTGCCGTATTTTTAGAATTGGTGAGGAGTTAAATGTCCGATATCTTCCTTCTAGTAATGTGAGGCACTCTCCACCTCTTCACCACAAAGTAAAGGTAGAGAAATATTACGATCGGAGGCAGGCAGGTAGATACTGGTTGAGGTTTTACGAGTAAAAGGAAAAGCAGCAAATCAGAATCCAATGGTTGTGGAGGTGAAGTGGTGCTTTGTAAATTTTCGCCCTCTGTAGATTGAGTGGTTGTGGCAATGCCGTCTTCATTTGTTACCCTCAGCTTTTATCTGTTCACTAATACTTTGTAGATTTACTCGATGGCTGGAAAGTTCTAGGGATCAGACCTTTCCAAGCAATCCTCCTCGAGGTATGTAATTTATTCTGATTGCCAATTCACTTGTATGTGACGATTTATTTTCTAACTACATTTATCCCTTTTTAGTTCATCAAGTTCAAACTGCTATCAAATCAGTTGAATCGAAACCTTTAAAATGTCCTCCCACAATGGAACCTATTGGTAAGTTCCTATCTGCTTTCTCTGCAATGTTTTCACTTAAAACAAATACCTATGGTTTCAGTTGCCTATTTATGATTGTTTGAGATTTGTTTTCTCCAAATATTTCTCTAAGCCCCTCGCCACTTCGCATTTCCAGATGGAATCTCGGGGCAAAAAGGTGGATTTTCCAAACAAATTAGCCAGAAAGTTAAAGATGTTTCTTGGACTAGAGTTATAATTATGGCTGCTTCTCCTTAAATAGAATTCATACACATGTGATTTTGCTCCATATCTGTAATACCAACTATCGCAATTTGTTTATAGGTGTTGTTTAGTTTTCTACTCCCTGTGCTTTGTTAAAGTATGACTCAGTTAGCTTATGAATTGCAGAGTTGCTGCCCACTCTGTTTTCTTCCCTTAGTGGTGAATTCTGTTATCGGCACTATCCTATTCCTATTCTATGCTATGCGAGCTCTATTAATTAGCTTTCTCCATCTTACTATTGTCATAGTCTGAGTCTTAACCTCTCCTACTCTAAGCACCAGAATTGCTCAGGTTCAAAAGATTGGGTCATGACGTCTATTCCAGTTTCATCATTACTTAGCTGGCATGAGTAGAAATAGAATTTATCTCTCAGCTTCATTGTATCTCTACAACTCAAGGAAGAATGTCACTAGGTAAATATCTATTTTTATATTCCCATGAATCTTCTCGCTTTATTTAAGGGGAGCATTTTTGCCTGAATTTCTTATTTCTACTTTCCAATTAATTTTACTTAATCTGACGACTGCAATGTTTATATGAGTCAGTTGATTGAACTTTGATCGATCTGTCCGTGAAAATGAAATATCAATAGGGATTTGGAGTACCGACAAAGTATACCAACTAAGAGAACGAAGCTCTTTTCTAGATTTTCCAGCTACTGTTGCTGCATACTCCCACCTGAGAATGAAGTTTTCTCAATTCGCTATAGTCGGGTAATAAGGACAAAGACATGGGGTGGTTTTTATTCTATTAAAAGGTCTTGTTTTGAATGTGTGCTCGTGGATTATACAGATGGTCTCTGACAATTATACCATTTATAACGCAGTGTTAAGTTGGTGGTGAATCGTATTATGTATCGCAATCAAAGAAGTCTCAAATCAAGGGAATGGTGATGTCAAAATAGCACAGACTTTTAAATATGCTTAATAAAATTGTGCTGCCAAATACAATGGTCTTTTTTTCACAGTTGGGAAAACTGAACCAGTATCCAATGTATTGTGGCCATCGGATCGCGAGGAAGATCGATCCCTTCACGATTTCCTCAACGTTAGCAATGACGACGGTCCCTCTCATTCCATTACTGATAAACCCTCATCAGTATATACAAGTGTGGACTCAAACGAACCGTGAGTTAAGATCTGGTATTTCTTTGTCACGATTTCTTCTCGCAGTTAATCGTCGCACTAAAGTCTTATTTTAAACGTGAGTGATGAAAGATAACGATGAGCTTATTTTCAACTGAGCGAGTTTATAGATCATTTACTTCCATTTTAGGGAGATGGTAGTCCTATTCTTGTCGCTTATTCCTTAAAGGGCTCCTTGAAGCGCTATGCTCGCGCTGTGCTTAATGTCAGCATTGACGATAGCATTTTTGAACTAGGGGACCCATTAGAATTATACTTCAGGACTTAACTATTCTGGACGGTTAGTGAGATTACGAATTTAGAAATAAATAGTTGAAAATTGAATAAATGTCGCTGCAGTGTTTTGATGTAGAGTGAGCTTAAACCACCCCTCTCTTTTATTATCATCCGACGATTTCATCTGGAGGCCATTGTTTGTTACGCCTTTAGAACAGTGATCCCTTTGATATTACAGTGATTGTTAGTATGGTCTTACAGGACTCAACCATCTTTCCCAAATCAGAAGAACGCAAATCGGAGTGGAACAGTATTTGTTTTGAACCATTATAGAGGAGAGAGTTGTTAGAGTTGTGTCTAAATTGTGGATGTGGTAGTGGACTGTTTGGTAGAACAGGCCTGCATACTATCATGTGAGTTACTACATATATCTTGCCCTCGAAAGGCAATGTCTTTGTTGTCAGTTAGTCGCCATATTAATTGACTGTTTTTTTCAATTTGAAAGGTTTACCAATGCCGTCCCCGAAGTAGCAGATTTTCAGGAAGATCTGGATCCTGATGACACAGCTGAACATCTTGCAGCCCTTTCCTTCGGTTTAAATGGATTTACTGCTTCTCCGCCTCCTCCAGTTCTACAAACAGCAGATTCCTCCATGGACGATGTTGACGACGATGACGATGATCTAATGAATGAGGATAGTGATGATGATGAGGAACATTTGGGGCCCGCTTTGGGCCTTACTTCTCCCTCCACTCCTCCTCCTCCTATTGCCAATGGAAATGGTCTATCGTCATTATTACAGCTACCACACCAGAAATTACAACTCACCACTTTGCAATCAACATCTAGCTGTCCTTTATCGTCGTCGTCATCATCATCCAGTAGTAGTAGTATTTCCAGAGGACTTTCACTGGAAGTTGATTCAGCTGCTTTCCGAAGAACTTCTAACCATCCTTCTCCTAAAGCAAGCGTTGACCTAACTACTGCTGAAGAGATAACCGCTTTTGAACGTTTCTTGGATGGTGTTTAAGTACATTTTTTACTATTGTTTGTCTTGTATTCATGTCTTTCGCTTATTTCTGAGTGTCAGATCATTTTGTTCTTTCTTATCTTCGTTGCTCTGTACGTTTGCTTCATTCGACGGTATTGTGATACGATTAATCTTCAACAGATCGAATATTTCAAGTATATTTCTTCTATCTAAACTTAAAAGTCCTATAGAGAAGGGTTGAAATTAGGTTGTTTGCGAAATAGGTCACTTATGTGATGGAAACTTGTTGGTTTCATTATGAACATCGAGGTACCCATCCATTGAAATGATGTCGGCTTCCTTCTGAGACATTGCTTTAACTGCGGTTACCTAGTTCCAGTCGATTGTTTGTTCATTTGTTCATCTCCTTTCTGTCCTATATGTAGCTCTAAATATGCATCTTGCTCCAATTGTTGCTGAACTGTCTGTTAAAACCAAGTCACGTGTCTTGGAAACGCATACTTCATTTATCAATCCAATAAACGTCTAATTCCTATTTACTAGTGGGAAGTTTTGAATGCCTCACAGCATAGATTCCAACACAATAGCGACTTCTCATCCCTGAATAAAAATCTACAGCCATTCGTATACAATATAAAAATTTTCTAAATATATAAGTGCTGAAGTGGGGTATCGTAAAGTAAAGTATTAACTAACTGCCATGAATGGGTAAAATGTGTTTATAGTATTTTCCTCAGGCGTGGAAAAGTAGTCCATCCTGCAACCTGAAAAGGCCTCCAATCAGTAGTTAATCCGGCCAAGACTACTTTTGTTAATACGCAGCGGTTTACTGCACTAGCAAGCCTTGAATATATTCAGTAATCTCTATGGCAGATTCTCCTAAGTTTTTAAAGGCTTCCAGAATTATCTAGACTACCGTGGAACACCCACTTTCTGGCGTGTTAGCCGCGTAATGACTTTGTCCATTAGTTGGTCGAGAGAAGTCGAAGCTTTTGCCATGCTAAAGTTGTGTCCATCCGGAAACCTGAAAAGGCCTCTAAACCATATTTATTCTGTCTATGGATCTTCTTGTTAACGTGATAGGCTGACAATATTTGTCGACCTTGTAAGTTCATATTCGGATTTATGATTTAGAAACATATATTCTAACCAGTTGAGAAATTCTGGAAGCAATCCAATTTTACTAATTAGCTCATCAAGGAAGAAAAAATTATATTACAGTTCTGTTGTCAATGCAAACTCAAATTCTAGATTCATAGTCAACTAGATGATCTCTGAATACTGAGTGGAGGGATAGTTCAATTAACATTCAGACACGACTTTCGACGAAAACTGATATCATACAAAGCTCAGATTAAATTACAAGTACAGTACTTAGAGAACAGAGCCCAAAATGTGATTTTTATAAATAACAGGGTAGGAGAACAGCAGAGGTTTAAACAAATTAACTTGGTGTGCACATTCACCCTTAGTTCTTAAGTTGTGATTCCATTATATTCTGGATCTTGGTGTAGTTTCTAGTTTCATCGATTATAATTGGGGCTCCATAAGTGATATAACATCTTTTAATAAGGAGCAGCAGGAATAAATATGATCTCTCAATAACTAGGCATTCCAAAGTCATTAAGACGAATAAGATTAGCTTCCTATTGAAGTTAACGTTGGAAAGATAACTTTATTGCAGAATCTTGATCAACCTCATCATTACATCTCTGATATTGACTCCCAGATTTTTCGTGTCTTTATTACTATCATTCAGCCATAAAGAACATTCATTTTCACCAAGTTCCATTTAGTTAGTTCTTCTACGAATTACTGGAGATAAACGAAGCAATAGTTAAGATCACAATCAGCATAACTCAACCAATTGTATTCATTGAAGTTTATGGTTGATTTTATGTAAGCGTCAACAAATAGCGTACGTGTTGTAAGGTAAAGATAAACACCAATCAGCAGTCTACACTCAGAGTGTCTGAAGATTAAAACACCTGACCGGACCTCTGTTTATAATTCTGCGATTCCATGCACACTTCATACGCATCACTTCTCTGCCTAGTTCTCTTTAGCGTTCTCTGTAGTGGAGAAATTCCTGGTTTAGTGGACTGTTCAACCCGTGAGTTCTTGAATATCAACATCATTACTCACTATTACTTCCTTAGCCTCCAGTCAAGGAAAGTATATCGACGCAACAGTTGTCCCATGCAATGAAAACCCATGCGTCTTAAAAAAGGGCCACAACACTTCAATCAATATAAAATTTACTCCCAGTATGCATCTTAGTCATTATTTAACTCGATTTATTCATAAAACTCAAATTCGATTTGTATTTGTGGTAAATCATTGGTTTGTATCCCAGATTATTTTAAACAAGCTACTTTTGTACATGATTACAGGTTTAAAAAATTAATCACTTTGTTAAGAGTGATTCAAATTATTTTTTCCTTAAATACCTGCATGCTAAGCGATTCAGATTATATTTCTGTCCCTTTTATTGCTAAATTGACAAACTGAATAATTTTAGCTGAATTGGTGAAAGGTGGCAAAATCGTTGTACACGGTATTATAAGTGGCATTCCTATTCCCTTTCCCCTGCCTGACAATAATCTCTGTCATTTCCTCAAATCTGGCTGCAATGCGCAACCAAACGTACCGACCGAAATGGACTACAGCCTTTACGTGAAAGAAACATACCCACCGGTGAGTGATATCGTAAATTCTGTCTCTCTTACTGCCAAATTTCCAAATAGTTCACATAATTGCTTTTTTAAAACCTATCTTTTAAATAAATTCACAAAAATGATCATTCTGGCTAATACACTAATTTTAAAATTGTTTATTTGCAGATACCCGTTGAAATAAAATGGCAATTGGTGGACGACTTGGGTGTCGATCTCGTATGCATTAAGTTCCCAGCAAAGTTGCAATCTACATCTCGTACAGTTAATACACTGGATGAAAATCAGTCGTTGTCCAGGGTTCTATATTTTCGAAGATATATGCCCGACAAAGTGTTTAAATTGTACAGGAAGTGGTTTGCTTAGTCTTTCGGTTATTCATGGATCAGTTTACTGCCACATATTGGGTTATCATAATTTCATTTTCACTTAAACCACCCACTTTGTTAGCATGAACCAGTTTAAAAATTCGTATGACACCAATGAGAATGGCAAATTCTTCAAATACAGAAGCTCCATATTATTTAATTTAATATCTTACAGTTTGTGGAATCTCTAAATTACTTTATCCGGCCTTAACCTTTGTGTAACTTCCTCCGCTCGGTAACATTCATTTCCGGCGCCCTTTTATTGATCTTGATTGACCTGCGTTGTTATTCCCTCTAACCAGTGACCTCTTTACGGTTGGATGTTTTGTGCTATTTTACTACTTATGATTAGATCAAAGTCGTCTTCCCTTCAATGCTTTAATTCTTACCACAATAGACAAAAAAAGTTCCTACCGACCTAGTAGATTTTGGCTTTCAAAATGATATTTGCATTTCGAACAAGTATCGAAATTCGAACCTTGGCACTGTTGAAAGTTCCAATTTGAATAAGAATGAAAGCATTGAGTGGTAAAGGATAGCCCACTAAGTAGAAAGATTACTGTGGGGTTATGCTATGATGGACGAGTTAATATCTGATGTCGACTTAAAGGTAGAATTGAGGTCGAAAATTTATTAAATGAAATGGTACAGAATTAATAGAAATTTAAAATACAGTGTAAATAATCAAATTACTAATTTATAGCACTAATACAGATGAACCGGAGATGCTATTTAGATAACAAGATTTTCAACTGAGTCCTGTCTCGGTTAATAGACGCTGTTTAACGTTGTATCGCTGGAATGCGTGGTTCAATTGTGCATGCGCCACTGAAAAGGTTCGGTTCCTAGATCAAACAATTCCCTTAGTTTTTAAGCTGAATTATCATAAGAAGTAAAAAATTAATTGCCGCATAATTTGAATTGAAGGCAGAATCAAGTCGTTAGTTTAGTTGGTAGATTGGAAAGCAGTGTAAATAGAGAAAATTCAATCAATGCTCCTAATCTGTCGGTTTTGTTTAGTTTCAGTATCTTTGCTATTGGTGCTAAGAGCCCTGGACTCAAACCAGTCAGTTAACACATGGTGTTGTTGTTAGGGTGACGCAAGCATATCTGAGGTGGATTGCCATGTCTTTTATACTACAGTTTTGTGATAATTTGTTAGAGCAAATACTATTATAATAAATTTATGCAAAGGGCTATGTTTCTTCACAGAATAACTTCTAGAAATTGTCTAGGTCCTCCGTGTACAGAAGTCATTGTTAACTTCCAGAAGGAGCATGGGTCTAGAAGATAACATTTATTAATTCAACATAAATTCATAAATGAGATGGCTGGCTTGGTGATTCTACTTTATATATCGCCATTCCATTTATTATTTATACGAATGGAAGTTACTTAGAGAGGATCTTAAACTGGCGAGGCCGGGATGGGTACTTCGGACATGTTTTCACTGCTTGAGGAAACGATGGGGTCATGGATTTAAAAAATGGGACAATTTAAGGACAATAAAATGTATAATATAATCTGAACGAAGAAACAGATGGGGGTGAAGTTTCTGAAAGGATCCAATACCTAAAACCAGAATAATGGTTATTTACAAATAATGATCGCAGCAGAGTATTAGTATTCATCCCAAATTTTAATAGCTGGGAGGGTTTAATGTAATTTAGAACTCAATAAAATTTAAAAAAGGTGACTGGAACTTTTATTTTGAAATTCCTAAGCATATCCTATGTTTAAATGTTCATATAACCCAGCTTTCTAACGTAACACAGTGATAATATATGCAACTATTTGTTTATATCAAATGGCAGGCGTCTTGATGGTTATCATCAGCCCTTTAGTTGTCTTCAGGCTTCACAGAGAGGAAGGTACATCAAATTGAAAAAAAGTCGGAAGGGGGGGGACAGAAGAGTGTTTTAATGATGTAAGAGACAAACACAAAGGTAGAAAAAAGGTGAGGTGAGTACTACGGAAGTAGTGGAATATGATATACAGTGGGGTGATGATAGTTTGAAGTGAGAAGTCAACTGCTGGTTAATAGACTTTTTTGCCGTATGAGTATACGTTGCCCAGAGTGCACCACGTGGAGGTAAGTCTATCGCACACCCCATCTATGCAGCTATATATGTATTCGCATTCAGTTATTCATTTTTAACAAACATTTCTACATTTAATGCATTGAATTATTCATTGTGAAGCAAAATTGTTAGTTTAAGCAAAATAAGTAGCTATTTATCTGATTCTGAGATTACTCAATGCAAAGCGCCTAACAGACCACATAAGCCTACTCAGTTATAAGAGAACCACTGATTGACCATTTGCATTAATTTACCCATTTGTCCAATTCAGCTGATGTTATTTATTTCTGTTATCGATGTTAAAACTAAGAAAATAATATTTGCGCTATGATAATTAGGTATTGCTCCTCTTTCAATCCTCCCTTATTTTGTGGGACACGTTATCGCTGTGTGCGTCATCGTATGCCTGCATGTCTGCTCGCCAGGATTGGGAGGTGCGGCCGTACAACTCTGTGTGCAGCGACCGTACTAACAGTGACCAACCATTAATCTCTGTTTAACCTAATCAGCCATCCTGATCATGATTAGGCCCCCTACGTGTACACTTGATCCGCAATATAACCACTGAATAAACGTGCTCCGTGCTACACGTCTGTTTCCTTTATAGCTGGGCTATAGCTTAGTTGGTTCTGGAAGTCTAGCTAGATGTTGGAGAATCTGCCATAGAGATTTCTGAGTCGGTCAGGCTTTACTAAGGTAGCGATCCGCTACAATTTAAATCATTTTCAATTCGATCAAGTATGCTGAAATGAAAGGCTTATTTGTTGCATTGCGGGTCTGAATTGTGGTTCTACGGATTGAGTTTGTAATTATTTCAAATAATAAGTGGTGTTAAGATTTTCCCTTAAACAGAGAAGCGTAGTTTCTAACGCGACTATCTGCCTTAACGCCTATGATTTTACAGTTATTGCCTTTGCGGGGTAGTAGTCGTTCACTAATACAAATGATTATAGGATTTTTATAAGTGGTAGAAGTTACTATATAAAATTTATTTATTTATATCAAATGGCAGGCGTTTTGAT